ATTTAGACAAAAAGTGCGTATATGTTAACCTTAATGTCAGATATAAAATTGACCAAAGCTTTTCTGGATAAACTTTAAGTCTATAACGAATAGTTTTTGGAATAAATAGAATTAATGAAAAAAAAAAATGTATTTTTCTCAAGAGGCGTTAAATTTGGAGGTTTACCTATACTTGTATATTTACTGAGGAATCGTCACTGCGTTATGGACTGATTAGCAGACATCATGACACCATCCAAAGTTAAGTAAATATCATGGTATATTCTGCATTAAATTATAAATAGAATTATACCACTCATTTTAAAAAAGTGAGAAAATTACCAGAAAGTATGTTTTCACAACAGTAATGCTTCCATAAAATTTCATTAATCTATCGTTTTTCGTTTTCAAGATAAAAAATAAAAACATTATTTTTCCGCCATCTTGGTACCGCGATATCTCCCTAATGGTTGACTTTTGACCCAACGTTTATAAAGCAAACTACCCTTTATTTTGAACAAGAAATCACCCCCTGAAGTTTTTCGCATTTGTTTTGAAACACCCTGTATAGAATCAAAAATCGACATGCTTGACATGCTTGAAACCAAAATATGTTTTTGTTAATCCTGAACTAAACAAAAACAAAAAAAAATCAGAAAGCAATTACCTCAATTGATTTGAAACTAAAATAAACAAATCATTAACTGCTATCTAAAAAGTTAAAAAAGATTAAAGAAGTAAACCGTATACAGGATGTGTCTCAAAAGTGGCTCACCCCTATATTTTTTATTTTTTTAGATAAAAAACACGAAATTTCGTTTATTAGTATATGACATAAATTAGAATTGATTGACGTAGTCAGTTGTTTCCAGTCACTTCCTATTTCACCGGAAATGACTACAACTTTGATTTTTAAATGGCAATGACCGACGAATCAGAGCGCCGTCGGACCAACGGGTAACGGACGCATAAAAATCAAGCTTTTACCAACGGTAAAAACCAACGGTCTTATTCAAGATCACGTTTTTGTCAATTTTACACATGTTTTATTTTTTATCTCGAAAACTATAAAAGATAGGTATAGGTAGAGAAAAATTATGGGATAAAAAAGTAGGTTCGAAAAATGTAATAATATTGTGTTTTATTTAGTATGGTAACAAACAACAACAGTAACAAGTATCAAAGATGCTACCTACCACTTTTAGTATGAAGCGGCAACACCATAATGCTAAAAATAATTTAGACAGATGGAGCAGGTGCCTTCATCTAAAAATCCCAATTTTCCATAAAATCTTATCACCGGTCCTCCATTAACGTTTAACGTGTCATGGCCGTGAATCACCCTGTATATGACTTTTTCGATTTTTTTTTTCAGTGTACATATTATAATTTTATGAATTAGGTAAACATTGGTAACTCAGCTTTAAACAAAATAGAATGCCTGGCTATTGTTAAATCTTATACATCACATTGTTTTAATATCGTTCATTATTTGTATAAACATTTTTGAAATACTTGACACTAAAATATATAACAATTTCCATCTAGATAAAAGTAGAGTTTATGTGTACTTATATCTCTTTTTTAGATGAATCGAATTTATTTTCCTTCTTTATTAATTAATATCCCCTTAAAAATAATTACATTGCAAGAATTGATTAAAATACACATTATTTATGTAATAAATTAACACGAAGAATGATAAGAAAGTTCATAATTTCACACTTGCTAGTTTATTGACTCAAGACATTGATCTGAATAAAAGAAGAATTATTCAGATCTTTATTTATAATAAATGTAGGAATTATAACACCATTTCATTTAATACAAAACTTTTTACTTTTTTATTAAAAAAATTTTTTAAATTACTTTTTATTAAAAATTTTAAAACATTCCTAAAATATATTATTTATACATTCAGCCCCTTAACTGATGGGGTAACTCTGCTTGTTCAACCATTTTATAAAACATTCCGTCTTTATTAGCCAGTAACTTTCCTGGTGAACAGGGGTGGATGGGCCATATGGGAAAACGGGAGACTTCCCGGTGGGCCGGTGGGCCGGTCCCGATAGGAGCTCAAAAAAAGATTGATTTATCAAAAATTAAATAGTTAATCTTCTAACTAAAGTTACGTGAGATTCTTAGTGACTGCCTAACTAACTAATCAATTTGCTTCAATATAATCGTCAGTTGCTTTTAAACATAACTCCAATTTGTAGTAATAATTATTGTTAGATGTCTTTCTCTGTGACACTTATAATTTTAATAAACATCTGTTGTTTGTTGTTCCATTTGAAATGTTTTATTATACAAGGTGAGTCTATAAGTGCACCTTATTTGTGCTGCTTTGTACAAATATTTTCAGGGCTGGTAGATATGAATAAAAGACTCTTTACCGTGTTTCAAATAAGTCCAAAAATAACCGAGTTATTAAAGTTTGAAATATTTAAAAAAACTGATTTATTTTTAAAAAAATTTGCCACCGAAATTTTTCTGTATTTGCATCTCTTTTTGTGCCGTAATATCAAAGATTAAGAAACTATACCGTGGGAAAATTTGCGGTGGACAGGAAGTTCTAAAAAAGTTTCTAAACTATACAGGAAAATTTAAAAGAAAAAGCACGATTTTCAACATCTTTTTTTTGAAAAAAAACTTCATAGACGTGTTCCTGGGGTCGAAATATACCACCCCTAAAAATATTTGCACTTATTTTAAGACTCATTCTGTATAGTTTTATCACTATTCTTTTATTAATAACTAATAAAGACTCCGGCAGGCGTACAGCAGAAAAGAGTGAATATCATCTAAATAGTCTCTATATCTAAGTGTATACTAGGAATAAGGTACGTAGCTTGACAACTGGCGGCCTTGGTGCAATACTTTTCGATCTCCTCTGAGTAAAAAGGTAGGCGAATTTGACGCGAACTCTGTGGTTGACAGAAAAAACATGAAGATGGCATTTCTAAGCCTGATTTGAATTGGGGACGGACTAAAAGCCAAGTCAGAACTAAAATTTAAGTCTAAGTTGTTGTTAAAATTTTGCTAGAATAATTTTACTAAAAATTAGTGAGACAGCAGAGAAGAGTTAAATGAGGTTTAAACTAGATTAGATAATAAAATATCAATATGTCTCCAAAATCCAAATATTCTTATTACAGATCGTAACATAGCATCTATATAGAACACATTTATATCCACTGCTTAGGTATGGCTTAGGTTTTTTTTCGTTTGAGTCATGGCATTATCATACAAGATGCCAAATGTAGAAACGAGGAAAAGTTACGTGATGAGAAATATACCAAAATTAAAACACGTATACATGACGAGGCTGCTCGTGTACCAGAAAAAAGAGAATTTCTTTCTACAATCTGTAAAAAAGTATATACCTGAAAAGCTAAAAATAATGTATTTTAGAGAGGATTGGGCCAGCTGAACTGAATAAATCAGGAAGTCTTAAAGTTTTTCAAAATCGTGTTTCAAAATCGTAGCATATTCAAGATCAAATTACCGATAATGGAAATAAAACAGTAGAGCCCTGTGAAACTGAGCAATTTTCTAGTAAAAATTCAGGATGTCCGGCCCGATATTGATCTTTATAAAAATTTTGATCAAGACAATTTCAATATTTTTAAAAAATCGGAGGCAAAACAGATTTTTTTGCGCTAGCGAAAATCACCCTTACTTAGGGTTATTTGACCCTTACCCAGGGTGTGCCAGATATAAGTGGAAGTATTTTAAGGGGGGTAGATTTGGTCAAAAGACACGTTTTTTCTCTTTACCGTTTTTCAAGTAAGTCCAAAATAACCGAGTTATTTTACTTTGAAAATTTAAACAAAAAATGCTTTTTTGCTTAAATTTTCAGAACCACTGGATGTTTTCTGGATTTTCTTTCATGTAAATTTAATCTACTACCTATGTTACCAGATTATCAAGAAATTATGTTTTTTAACTTAAAACTAAAAAAATTTCCAAAATTTTTTTCAAGAAATTCCAAATTTTCGCAAAAAAGAACCGAAGAGGCCGAGACATACTATCAGTTAAAATACTTGCACTTATTTCTGGGACACCCGGTATATTAATAAATATAAATATGTTTCTTCGTTATGGTCATTTTGTTTTTGTGGATTTGGGCCGGTTGCCTGTTATTCCCGAGCCGGTTTCTACTTCCCCATCCAAACCTGCTGGTGAATCGAATTTTTTTATTTCTCCTCTATCAAGTACCATAACTTTATCTGAATCGATAATCGTGTGTAGTCTATGTGAGATGGATATGATGGTACAGCCAGCAAAATTTCTTTTAATATCATCTTGCAGCATGGCATCGGTTTTAGGATCCACATTGGCAGTAGCTTCGTCCAGAACAACGATTCTATTTCTTCGAATGATCGCCCTGGCTAAACAAGTTAATTGTCTTTGTCCAGAACTCAAAGCTGGAGCATTTTCGTTAATAGGCTTGGCTAGAGTGAGTATGCTTCCTTTCAAGTGGGCCTCGTCAAGTAATTTCCGGATTTCTTCGTCGGAATCGAGATGATACGGATCAATGTTACTTCTGACAGTGCTGGTGAACAAAACGGGATCTTGAGAAATAATAGCGACTGATTGTCTTAGGAACCCAATTGATAAATGCTTAATATTGATACCGTCAATAAGTATCTTTCCTTTGACTTCATATAACCGAAACAACGATAAAATAATGGATGATTTTCCTGCGCCTATTCAAACGCAATTTCCAATTTTCTGGGTTGATTTATCAACGACCACCTTATTTTATAAATAACAAGTACTTGTTTAGTGTTTAATATAAAATCATATGAAGCAGTGTATTTATTGAGCTACGAAATATATTTGATTTTTTAAAGAATAAGAGTATTGGCCAAGGTCATTTAGAGAAATCTGGAAGAAAGGGAATGTTGACAGGAAGAGGAGAGGTCTTCTACAAAAAATTATGATAATCCTGCATCTGTATATGTATGCAGGGATATATCTAGGTATCAAAAACAATTATCATAAAATTTTTGAATTAACAAATATACATTTTATTTACATCTAAAAAATATTAATGTAATATCTACCGATAATAAATATTCCATAACAATAAAAAAATTGAAAACTTTCTTAAAATATATCTTTTATACATTCAGCCCTTTAAGTGATGCGTTAACCCAGCTTGTTCAACCATCTTGTAAAACATCCCATCTTTATTAGCCAGTAACTTTGCTGGTGAATCAAATTCCTTAATTTCTCCTCTATCCAACACCATAATTTTATCCGAATCGATAATAGTGTGTAGTCTATGTGCGATGGATATTATGGTACAGCCAGCAAAATTTTCTTTAATAGCATCGTGCAGCATGGCATCGGTTTTAGGATCCATATTGGCAGTAGCTTCGTCAAGAACAACGATTCTATTTCTCCGAATGATCGCCCTGGCTAAACAAATCAATTGTCTTTGTCCAGAACTCAAAGCTGGAGCATTTTCGTTAATAGGCATGGATAGAGTAAGTATACTTCCTTTCAAATGGACCTTGTCAAGTAATTTCCAAATTTCTTCGTCGGAATAGATGTGATACGGATCAATGTTACTTCTGACAGTGCCGGTGAACAAAACGGGATCTTGAGGAATAATGGCGACAGATTGTCTTAAGAACTCAATTGATAAATGCTTAATATTGATACCGTCAATAAGTATTTTTCCTTTAACTTCATATAAACGAAACAACGATGAAATGATGGATGATTTTCCTGCGCCTGTTCGACCGCAAATTCCAATTTTCTGAGTTGGTTCAACAACAAAGTTTAAATTTTTCAAGACATTTTCTTTGTTACCGTACGACAAAGAAACATTTTCGTATCTAATTTGGCCTTCGGTTGGCCAGTTATCGATCTTGCTGCCTTCCTTCTTCTCTTGTTTGATTTCGGTGTATTCTAATGCTCTTTCGACTGAAGTCATTTGGTTTTCTAGGTCAGCCCATTGCCGTACACCCCACTGGACATTGCCAGCCAACATGAAGACTTGCGATATAACCAAGCCGACGTTTCCGGCACTGGCACCTAAAAATAATATTATTACATCAAAAAAGTACCATCTCTATGTACACGGTTTATTTTTTATGTCTCCATATGGGGAAATAGATATCACACTCTCATTGCTACTTTTTGTATTCTACAAAATGTTGTTATCAAATTATTAAACCGATATTTCATCTTTGAGCTACCATCATCAATTTCTGTTTCATTTTATCTGTTATAACGGATTTTATAAGGATTTTAAAATCCTTTTAAAATCCGTTATAATATTGATTGCTTCGTTTAATGTATACAGGGATATTTAAAGATATGTAAATATGCATGCTGTGATAAAAAAGATTGTCAATACCTTGTACATTACTTTTCAGAATTAATTCTTGTGCTGACTTTCAAGCCAGAGAAATATACTTTACTAAAAATTTGATTGCTTTCTTAAATGTATACAGGGATATCAAAAATTGCTGATCTATTTTAATTATTTATTTTACATAACGACTTCGTTATTTCAAATTCAATACTCTGTATTTTTTTAAATAATTCAACTCAGATTTAAATGCTCTTTCAAACTATATTAGGGTTTCCTATACCTATCTAAAAAAAGAAAAACAGAGAAGTAGGTCTTTGATTTATTTTACGATGACTTGTAGATATCTGGATTTTCTACATATAAAAGAGCCAATCCCTATTTAGGTTTTATTTATTAATAGGTTTTTATAAACTACACTACAAGCTCTGCGAAATAAGACAAGTAGTTTTTCAAAGGAACGCTTATCAGGAATATTTCTATTTGGATATCTTTGAGCATCAGCCATTGAGCCCAAAAAGCAATTTTCCTCACAAAAACAAAATATTAGTAACTAGTAATTTGTCATTTATACTATTACGCGAAAAGCAATTTTTTTCCAAAGCCTACCATGACTTCACTGAATCATCATTTCTTGTTCACTATTATTAATATCTTAATTATTAGATATTAATACATCTGGTATTATGGTATTCTGGTATTTCGTCGCTTTTAAAATAAGCTAACTGTTTCCGTCTTATTTTTTGTTAGAATGGGCCTAATCAAGAGGGCTACTGCGATACTGTATTGTAAAAATAAGATAATTAAGGGCTTGTTCTTTGGTATTTATTATAATTTTGGTAATATCTTCGGTGAAAGAAAATATCAAGATGCGGTTTTTGCTGACTTTTTAAGCGTTTACTACTCTTTACTACAAGCTAAAATAGCACATACTATCGTATTTAATTTTTTTGAAAAAACACGCTATGTTTGTTAAATTGTAAGAAAGCGCCCCCTAGCGTCTACGTTTAAAACCTTATTATTATTATTATTATGGTATATATAGAGTAAGAAACGCTCTTTTAAACGAGCCCTCGTTTGTTTGATTCTGATCATCCAGTCCGGAGTTATTAACATTTAAATAAAGATAGATCTAACCTTCCCCCACCACTTTATTTTAGCAGATATGAGAAAACGGTTCTAACAAAAAAAATCCAAAATTTACTGAAAATTATGAAGCTATTATTTATAGTACTCATTATCTCGGCAAAATTCTGTAAAAATTCTATTTTCTTATTTTCCATAGCACTTGAGCCACCTAGCGGCCGTTTTACAAACTAGAAAATAATTTCCAGCAATTTCTCGTAGCCCCTTTAGTTATAAATATTTTTTTCCGTTAGCCCTACAGCTAATACTTTCCGAGATACAGCCTAGAGCTATTCTTACTGGGACACCTGGTAAAGAAATATTTGTGGAAGTTAAAACGTATTTTATACGTATACGATAAACAACTATTTTATGTCCATAAAAAGTAAAAATGGTTTGTTTTATTTTAACAAGTTTTGATTTTAGGAAAGGAAGAAAGACCATCAATCGCATACCGTTTACATAACTTTTTGGTAAATTCTAGACATATGGGCGAGGTTTCAAAAAATGTTTCGCCTGTACCTCTTTTTTACCCTCTCGTCCTCTATTTTTTATTTTGAAAGTTGGCAACCCTAGTTTAAACTATTGTGGGTAAATAAAAAATAAACTGTTATACTTGTTTATAAGGCTGCTATAAATCTAAATAATAATGTCTATAATCTAATCTCGATTTAGAAAATAGTTACTAACTGTCACTAGAACGTAGGGGTGGATGGGGAAGTGGAAACCGGCCTGGGAAAAACAGACAACCGGCCCAAATCCACAAAAACATAGTTTATTTATTAATATAAGGTGCCCCAGAAATAAGTGCAAGTATTTTAACCGGTAGTATAGTTGAAGCCCAGAAACACGCCTATGAGGTTGTTTTCGCAAAAAAAAACTTTTGAAATTCGGAATTTTGTAAAAAATGTTTTGGATTTTTTTTGTTTTTAGTTAAAAACCATAATTTCTTGATAATTTGGCAACATAGGTAGGTAGATTAAATTTACAAGAAAGAAAACCCAGAGAAGATCCAGTAATCCATTCTCAAAATTTGAGCAAAAAATTATTTTTTTTTGGAAATTTTCAAAGTAAAATAACTGCATTGCATTTTGGACTTATTTGAAAAACGATGAAGGGAAAATATGTTTCATTTATCGAGATCTACCACTCCTTAAAATACTTGCACTTATTTCTGGGAGAACCTGTATATAAGTAAGGGTGTTTTTCGCTTGTGCGAAAAAGCTCTTTTGCCTCAGGTTAAAAAAAAATAAATTGTCTTGATCAAAATTTTCGTAAAGACCTCTGAATCGGACATCTGAATTTTTACTACAAAATGGTTCAGTTTTACAGGGTTCTACTCAAAGATATTTAAACTCAGATGCCCGAGTTTAAATATCTTTGGTTCTACTGCTTTATTTCCATTATCGATAACGGTAATAACGTAAATAACGATAATTTGATCTTGAATAGGCTATGATTCTGAGTCAGGATTTTGAGAAACTTTAAGACTTCCTGATTCATTCAGTTCAGCTGACCCAATCCTCTGTGAAATGTATTACTTTTAGCTTTTCGGGGGGTATATACTTTCTTACACATTGTAGAAAGAAATTCTCACTTTTCTGCTACAGCAGCAGCCTCCTCGTGTACACGTGTTTTTAACTGAATGAACCGCGGTCGCCATTAAAACTGCAGCATTTTTTAGGTTATTACATAGTTTCTTATCACGAAACTTTTCCTCTATACTTTTGTACATTTGGCATCTTGTATGATAATGCCATGACTTAAACGAGAAGAACCTGGGCAATACCTAGGCAGTGGATATAAATGTGTTCTGATATAATGTTATGTTACAGTCCATAATAAGAATATTTGGATTTTCGAAACATATTAATATTTTATTATCTAATCTAGTTTACACCTTATTTTTAGCAAATTCATTTTAGTAACATTTTAAACAACAATTTGAATCAAAGAAATCAAAGAATTGAATCAAAGAAATGAAGCCAAGCATAGATATGTTTTCTTCGTCAACCGCAGAATTCGCGTCAAATTCGTCTACATTCTTACAAAAGGGAGCTCGAAAAATATTGCACCGAGGCTCCCAGTTGTCAATCTACGCTACCGTATTCTTAGTATACATTTAGATCGAGACTATTTAAATTTACCTAATGCTATTCGTTCTTTTTTTTGCTGCCAGTCAGTCATATTTATTAGTTATTAATAAAAGAATATTGGGTAAAACTATACAGAGTGAGTGTTAAATAAGTGCAAATATTTTCAGGGGTGGTATATTTCGACCCCAGGAACACGTCTATGAGTTTCTCTTTTGCAAAAAAAAATGTTAAAAATCGAGCATTTTCTTTTAAATTTTTCTGTATACTTTACAAAACTTTTTAGAACTCCTGTTCACCGCAAATTTTCCTACGGTATAGTTTCTTAATCTTTGATATTACGGCACTGAAAGAGATGCAAATACCGAAAAAATGAGGTGGCTCAAATTAAGGACTTATTTGAAACTTATTAAGTGGACTTATTTGAAACTCGATAAATAAAATATATTAATTCGATAAATCGAAAATATATTATGTTTATTTTATTGAGATCTACCAGCCCTGAAAATATTTGTTCCTTATAGACTCACTTTGTATAATAAAAATTATCAAACCGAACAAACAACAGATGATTATTAAAATTATAAGTGTCCCAGAGAAAGACATTTTACAATAGTTATATTACAAATTGGTGTTTATGTTTAAAAGCAACTGATGATTATACTGATGAAAATTGATTAGTTAGTTATGGAGTCACTAAGGATCTTACGTCACTTTAGTTAGAAGATTAACCATTTAATTTTTGCTAATCCAATCTTTTTTGAGCTCTGATCGGGACCGGCCCACCGGCCCACCGGGAATTTTCCCGTTTTCCCATATGGCCCATCCACCCCTGCTAGAACGACACCAGCCATCTTGATTGCCATTTTATTGTAAAATCGCTTTTTATTCAAAATATGAGCTAGGTAGGTATAGGAAACCCTAATATAGTTTGAAAGAGGCATTTACAGTTCGTCTGCTGGATCTGTGTCTATGAAAGGAATGCGGACAAAAAACATTTAAATAAACAGCAATATATTTTATACGTCGACTTGACGAGTACGTCACCGCAAATCGCTCCGCCCACTCATTTTATTGGCTACTTGCAAATTTGTCGAATTTTTATTGATGGGATGCGTCGTCTAATTTTTTACGAAAAACATCGAGAAAATATCGTTTCCCCTCTCACGGATACCCCGTAGCCTCAGAACGGACAGACGTACTGTAAATCTGCTTCGATTTATTTTAATAAATAGAGGGTGTTGCATTTGAAATAATGAAGTTTTTATGTAAAATAAATATTTAAAATAGATCAGCCAATTTTGGTACTCCTATATAAATTTAAAGAAGCAATAAAATTAAAAATTAAAGTTTATTTTTCCAGCTTTAAATTCAGCACAAGAATTAATTCTGAAAAGTAATGTACAGGGTGTTGATAATCTATTCTACGATAGCATGCATATTTAAATATCTTTAAATATCTCAAAGATCACAGATTTTTAAAAATATTTAATCCTTATAATAAATATCTTTTTTAGGTCCAAGAATCCAAAAATGAAATAAAATACCGGATTTTAGTTTTGAAACACCCTGTATATTTTAAAATAATTTTAAATTGTGCACATTACCTCCCCACATATACCCAAATGATATACCTAAATATTTTGTTTCTACATCTTCCCGTTTTCGTATAATCACCCGAGGCAAATGAGGTGCGCCACCAATGACCTCTAATGTGCACCACCCTGTATATTTCTTTTAAATGTGTCACTCTATTTGTTATTAGATTTTTAGATTTGGTTTAAAATTCTATAATTTTTGCAGTCTTACCATTGTCGAAAAAGACAAATCTGGAAATAACCAAAGCAATTAGGATGGAACATAAGAAATCTAAGGAGAATCCAAAAGCTCTCATAGTGCATATCAGCATATAATGTGCTGATGTATATAAATCTTGGTGTCTGTCAAACTCTTCTTTTAAAATGTCTTCTGCCTTGTAAGCCCTTATGGTAGTCAAACCTTCCAAAGATGCGTTTAGATGGCCTACTAATGGACTCCTAGCTAAAAAATATAAAAATCACTAAATAATATACCTAATTTGTAAAGAACTTGTCATTTGAACTTGTTATTTCAGGGTTTTTTTCAAAGGGGTAGACAATAATTAATTATAAAATAAAATATCTTCTTGAACTGATATTGTTGTAATTAATTGTCTTTAATTCTCAACATTAAAATGCTATGTCAGCCCAAAGATATATTTTATCTCATTATTTCAGTATTATTGCTACAGGGTCCGGCAATAGTGCGTCGGGCATCTGTAGCTCCTAGAATAAAGAACTTGGGAATTTTGTTTAGGTGCAAACCTAAAGTATGTACTAGGGTGTATTTCAGGAAAATATTTTAACTTCTACAGGATGGCCAAAAAAAGGGCGAGTGGATCGGCATGATTTTTTTTAAATGGAACACCCTATATATTATTACATTTTTGTCTTTTTTCTGATCATTTTACATTATCATAAAAATGCGATAATATACAGGGTGTTCCATTTAAAAAAAAACATCCCAATCCACTCACACATTTTTGAGCCACCTTGTAGAAGTTAAACTATTTTCCTGAAAATACTTCAGGTTTGAAGGCAATTCGGAACATTTGGTCACCCTGTATACATATACTCACTTGCTGCTTCAAGTCGCTTCAAGCTACGTCCAGTTGGCATATAAATTCTCCTAACCACAAAGGTAAGCACAAATAATACCGATGCCGGTATTAGGAAATGCCAATAGATTAGAGAAACATTAACCACGATTCCAGCTATTGATATAGTTACCTGTAATTAAAATATAACTTTTTATTTTTGTTAGTCACATATACCGTATGATCGAAAAAAAACGGCGTCCAGTTGGCTGAGAAATGACGATCGATGATATTTCCCATATAAATTTACATATAAAATAACAAAAGTAGATACTTTATAAAGTTAGATAACGGAAAGGAAGAAACACGAATCAAATAGTTGCAAGTACTATGGAAATATCGATGATACAGAACATACCTTAGACTAAAACTTCTAGACGGAGCAAGTCATTCATAAATCTACTATAACCGTGTTCCACTTAGCCTGCTTAGAATGGAATCACGGAGGTTAAAATATCAATGAAAAGCCTTGAGTGGGGATAAGAACTTGGGACAGCAAATTTGGGGCGGCGATACTGGCCGGACTAATCCAATGGAAAGAAAAATGATATAAGAAGATAGTAAACAGACAGCTGTCATGGTGAAGAAATGCGAAAGCGGTTTCCGCCATGATCAGTGTTGGAAAGTGTTGAGATCACCATGGGAAGTGTGTTTTATTAGCCGATAAGAATCCGGCACTAGCCGGCACTAACGACGATAGTAGAGTAAACGCCACGAATGTTTGGGAGTGATTTATCGCTTGATGAAGTTAGAATCGACACGCGCGCTATCATTTTTACAATAAAAACGTAAATTTTTACCGCAGATGTAGGTTTTTAAAGGCCCGGTCTAATCATCTGCCTGCGCTCCTCCTACTTATTCTAAAATGTTAGCGTGATTGACAAAGACGATACTATATCGCGTTTCTTTGATTGATTCGTTTTTTGCGCCAGTCCATTGGTGTGCTTGCAGTGCGACCAATGGGGCATTCCATTTTATATTTATAACCAAATATATGTTTTGACAAGACTTTGACAGTTAAAACAACAAATTACAACAGATTATATATTGATTATTATATAACTTGAAACACCACGGCACTGGAATTAAGTTTTATGTGACCTTGAACAGATTAGTTCACATGGTAGCGACCGATGAATCACTCCCAAACATACGTGGCGTTTACTATAGTTTTTGTTATTAATGCTGGGTGTCTTAAGCAAGATTTTCTTCCCCACAAACAAAAAAATGTTATATAATGTTTGCTACTCACCCTCATTGCTTCTGAAATAGTATGAGGAAGAAACTCGTCAATATTAATTAGATCCTGCGAGAACCTGTTCAATACATTTCCAATAAAGTGAGTGTCGAAAAAAGACATAATAGCGTTGATTACGGTCGTGGACATCACTTTGTGCAACTTAATGGATGCCCTGCGACAAAAATCAAACAACATATATGCTCTAACCAGCAACAGAATGATAGAGGAGCCGATCATTGCCGAATACAATTTTATGTAAAAGTTCTTATTGGCTACGGCATCTTCAAATTGTTGAGTGTCAGTTTGGTTTTCCTGTTTAAGATCTACTTCTAATTGTTGAGAATCAATCCTAAAAATAGAATAAAATAAAATAAAATAAGACTATAAAAAATTAATAAGATTCAAAAACCCATAATTTGTAGTGATTTTAGTATACAGGGTGTTTTTAATGGCATGCTAAGATTTAAGGGAGCGAAAATACTGGGTGACAATTTTTTTTCATTATTATGAAAAGAGTTATTTCTCTGATAGATATCTTTATGAAATTTTATACAACGTCTATTTCTTGATATACCGGATGTTCCACTAAGAATATCTCTCGACTGTATCTCGGAAAATATAATCATATCTCGTATTAACGAAAAACTTGAAAATATTTCCTACTCTATCTGTACAATCATACAATTCAATTTGTTTTGGTGACGAGATCATTAGATCATGCGGAAAATATATTTATACAGGGTTACCGGTTAGGCAATAGTAAAGTATGTATAATAGTAAAGGATGTACCATATGATCGAATAAAAACGGCGTCAGCGATGGCTATGAAATGAAGATCGCTGTCATTTTATATATAAAATTATATGGGAAGCGATTGTCATTTCCCAGCCAAAAAGTAAGTGGATCAGTATGATTTTTTTAAATCGAACACCCTATATACCGGGTGCGTCTCAAAAGTGTCTCACCCCTATAACTTTTTTATTTTTTCAATTAAAAAAAAACGAGATTTGGTATGTTAGTATATGACATAAATTAGGCCTGATTGACGTATTCAATTATTGTTTTCGGTCACTTCCTGATTTGTAAATGGCATCCTCTGAATTTTTTTTACTTTATTCGAAAGAAAATAACACTCTGAGTAGAATGACCTATCATATGTCAACTTTTGACATTTTCGCATATGATTTATTTGAAATAATAACGTGCGGTTCGTAACGAAAATTTGACTGGAAATACCAAGTGTGTGGTATCAAATTATTCGTAAAAAATGCTTTTTCCAAATATGCTAATGAGCCACCCTCGTTCCATTTGAAAAAATTGAGATATATGATTAAAAAATAAGAATTTGAGCATTTTCTAATTGGCTAGGACAAGACACTAAAAACATTAGACGATATTATATTTTTTTCAAGGTTCCTTGATTAAGAATTAGTGTTTTTAACATAGCCATGGCACTCTAGATTGAATTTTAAAATACGACTTTTTATTAAGCGAGAATGTCAAAAGTTGACATATGATATGTCATTCTATTCAGAATATCATTTTCTATCGAATAAAGTAAAAAAATACCGAGGGTGCAATTTAAAAATCAAAAGTTGTAGTCATTTCCGGTGAAACAGGAAGTGGCCAAAATCAATTGAATATGTCAATCAATCTAATTTATGTCATATATTAACATAACAAATCTCATTTTTTTATCTAAAGAAATAAAAAAGTTATAGGAGTGAGCCACTTTTGAGACGCACCCGGTATTATTGAATTTTTCGCCTCCTTTCAGATCACTTTATAGATTAGTAGTATTTGTAGATTATTGTTTTATTAGAGAATTAAAAAATAAACATTTTTTTGTATTTAGAGTATTTCAATATTTTTAACGGTTTCGCAGATAAATCGCGGTATTAATTCATATAAAGTCTTTCAACGGTAAAATACGAGAGAAAAATTATTTGGTGGCTTTGATAAAAATTTATTTTGGAAAATGCCATATGAAATATAAAACCGCGAATATCTGCACAACCGTTAAAAATTTTGAAATATCTACTCTAAATACAAAAAAATTTCCTTTTTAATTATCCGTCTACTAAACAAATCATATACAGGGTATACCACTTAAAAAAAAAAGAATAAAAATTATTTTATATTTTAGAAAGTTTGGCGTGGAATTTGGAACACCTTGTATGATTTAAGATTACGATATTTATAGCAAAGTAAGTAGAGACCAACTAAATTCATCTAAAGTAAATACCTTATATAGTTTTGATTTCAGGACAGTTCTTATGTGTATTTTTAATAATTTTTTTTAGGAAGATTAAAAAATATACAGGGTCGCTTCAAACTGAACATATCGAAATTAATTGAATCAAATAGTTTAAGTGATATTTTCAAAAGTCAAGAACTCGGAAAAGGTTTGTTTGTGGTACATTGTGTATATTTCGATTTTTCATTAGAATTGAAGAAATAACCGAAATATGCAATAACTGTATATTTAAATTTATTGTCCGCTAATAGATATTTATAAACCCTATAACTTTTATATTGAACTTTTTGCGGTACCTCCTATATTTTACCTAATAATCGACCTTTTCCACACATAACAGCGACCCTGTATTTTATTTACCTATTTATTTATTAATATCTTTGGAACTATTGAAATATATTTACTCATATCTTATGATTATATAAAATGATCTGAAAGGAAGCCAATAATGCAATAATATAGAGAGTGTTCTATTTAAAAAAATCTTCCCGATCCACTCACTTTTTTGAGCCACCCTGTAGAAATTAAAATATTTTCCTCAAATACATCCTAGTGCATACTTTAGGTTTGCGCTTAAAGAAAATTCCCAAGTTTTTATTCTATACAGATACAGATGATCGACAACCTATTGCCGGATTATTAACCCAAGTAGCATTTTCACGACTTGCGACCACATGTTTACTAAACACAACGTTGGATTAGTTACAAAAAATAGTTAGCTCACTACCTTAGGTATTAAAATAAATTTAAACGTTTTTATAACGTTGTGCCGACTTTGGACTAGTACTACAGCAAAGTAGAAGCTTCTGCGACGTCGAATAAACGTTGTCTTCTAAACTTTTTTGCTTAAGTGATCTTTAGGTGATTCGGACAACGTAGTTACAACGTTGGACAATATAGAGTTTTCCGACGTCAGTTTTAGGACCTATTCCAACGTTATGCAAACGTCGTCTGTTTTACTAATTCCAACGTTGCTTAGATTTCCTTATTTTTACGTTGGTAGGACGTCGAGTCACTACCTTTTTGCAACTGTATTGAACCATAACCTTAAATCTTAAATTTTCACTTCATTGTTCTGTTCAGTCAGACAGTTCAGTGCTGTTTTTGTTTTTATAAAAAAAAAACTTAATTAAAATGGACATAAGAAAGGTACATATAAAACTAAATTTAAATATACATCGACATATATTACCGATAGTTTATCCACTCCCTCGTTTATTTAGATTATAGAGGGCGGCACAAGCTAGACTCTAGGATGACTAAATTAGGCAATCTTGCGACTAGTATACTACCTGTTAAGGCCGAACTGCGACTTTAATAGTCCAGTATGCGACTACTCGAACTACTCCATCTTAATCTCCAAAACAACAAAGTGAAAGCCGCCATGTTGTTAAATAAGAAAATGTTTCGTTCCTAAAATAGCAATTCCTGCTTTTTGAATACATTAACTTGAAATATTTGACCCTAAAAACACGCGAAAACAATTTTTTCGACTGCGAATAAATTATTCTCATTTTACTAAAAAAAATTCAAGAAAATTTTAAAACTCCTTTAATTTTAAGGCCCATTAGTATTTTCAAAGTAGAAACAATACATTTATCAATAAAGTTGTTTGCGTTTAACTTTTTGCCTTGGGTAACGAGTTACAGAGTCGGTTAAAGTGTTTCAATAATTATGATCTTCAAACATCCTCCACACTTAAATACTTTTGTTTTGTTTTCCTTCACTGCCATCTGACATATGTCTCTAACTAAATCATAAAAATAATATTTTTACTATAATTATCCCAATTTAGGATAAAACGCGACTTAGACGCCATATTAGTTTTGTATTTCTGTGAATTAGTATTTTAAACAACTTTACAGTTTGTACTAAATTAGGCTTCTAGCCAACGTCGGTATCCAACGTCGTTTCGACCCAAAAATTATTCTCCAAACTAGTGCAGACTAGGGTTGGCACGAGGTTGTGCCGACGTTGCGCCCCGACGTTTGGTCGCGTGACACAACGTTGTCCCGACGTCCAAATGCTGCTTGGGAAATTCATAGAACGGCCGCTATAGGGGGTGCAATTGCAATGGCAAATAATAAAATGGGAGTTTTACAAAATGTTGCTAGCCTATGACTTACCACATTGCGATTAGTTTCTCACCGTACGTTTCAGTACCTTGCGCCACTATGAAAATTACAGCAATAACTGATATCAAACATAGCCCACCTCCATATGTAAAATACTTCCAATATATCCTAAAACTAACATCGCCTTTCTTCTTCTCCTCGTGATATATTTTCCTTTTCGTCGTTTGTTCAGTCTCCAGCAACTTATCGCTTTCATCTTTCTTTTCCTCTTTTGTATCAGTACTTTCATTCGATTCCTCTATAACTTCTTTTTCCATTTCGTCATCACTACCTATCAGTTGCGTAAGTTCCTCCATAGAAATTCTAGTAGGACTTCCTGATGACTTTATCTTTGAATGCTCCATAATAATTACATTATCACAATCAGCAATGTGGTGCACTGTTTGAGTCACCAACACCACAATTTTGTCTCTCAAGAATTTCTTTATACATTCCTCAAAAATGAAGTCTTGCACATGCGCATCCAAGGCGGTTAAGGAGTCATCTAACAGATAAATTTCGCTTTCTTTGTAAATTGCTCTGGCTAGGTTAACCCTAGCTTGCTGACCTTTGCTAAGATTTATACCGTTGTCAGCTACAATGGTTTGATCACCTTTGTCTAGAATATTTAGATCGTACGTTAAAGCACAGACTTTAACCACTTCCTCGTACCTAGTCTTGTTATACTTTTCACCAAAAAGAATGTTTTGCTTGATTGAAGATGGAAACAGCCAGGGATCTTGAGACGCGTATGAAATTCTCCCAATTGTGCTGATACTTCCACTTTCTAGAGGATAATCTTGAAGGAAAGCTTTCAATAAAGAACTCTTTCCAGAGCCTACAGGCCCTGTAACGATGTTTAATCCCGAATCTATTGCTAAAGAAACGTCTTGTAAAGCAAGTCTAGTATTAATGGTTACAGTTGCATTTTGTAATAAAAGTTTCGGTTTGACTGTGGGGTCATAATGGTCATTTTCTTTTTGGAGCTCTTCTGCTTTCAAAACTCGGTTAATTCGATAGATTGCGGCCAGAAGTTCAGCAGCCCGGCCCATTCCCATTGGAATCGAAACTCCTAGTAACCACCTTAGTTGGTTGAATAACGTGAAAACGTAATAAACTAGTTGGGCGTCTGGTATGTATCCTAACCAAACGTACGCAACAATGAGGATATAAAACCCTAGCCTGGAGGCTAGAATACCTAGACAAACAAGTACTGACTTGAGGTAGAAGGTGATTTGCATTATATTTACTTCTTTCCTGAAAGTGAATTTGTTAGGTATTGCCTTTTATAAGTTATATTTGATATTACTTTCTTTTGTCGTTGACTTCGTTGTTGAAGAACTTCTCCCAGGTGTACAGCTTTATAATTCGGATGGATGACAGTATTTCCTGAGTGATTTGTAATCTTTCGTCCGTTTTCTTGCCAATTCTCAAACGAAGAGTGGTAATCCATTTTCCGATGAAAACTAAAATAATATACAGAAAACTTCCTTAGACAAAAAGACAATATTAAATTGATCGTACATAATAATTGTCATTGATGTAATGGTAATGGCATTGCATTTACAGTGTGATTCTAATAAAAAAAAATAATTCATGTTATCGAGACAGTAAAGGTGAGTTTATGTGCATCCGTCATGCATCGTCCATCGTCACTTTTATGCAATTCTTTTGCTTTATTGCTTGTTGCTTTTGCTTTATTGATTTTTACTGGCATTACTTGACGCCATTTCAGTAATCATCATACAATAAAGAATACAAAATCCTTTCGGAATTATAAGAAGAAGATATGTTCAAAGAGCTATTATAGTTATCTATACTAATATATAAAATCCTTAAGTGACTGACTCACTGATTAATCACGAATTTTGGCGTACAGGTTGATTCTAGGTGTTCAATAAGTTTCAATAAGAAGTAAGATTCAATAAGAAGAGATTTTTCGAAATTCCAGTTCCAAGGGGGTGAAACCACCCCTCAAATATTACAATATTTTTTATTTAAAAAACGGTCAAGTTTCCGAAAAAACGCTTAAACACGTATATTTTATTTTGTTTTTTTACATATTTTAAGATTTTTTAAAAATGTATACAGGGTGTATACAAAAATCTGGTCATTGATTAATCACGATCCTGCATAAAGCGCTCGACGTAAAAAGCTGATTTTTGGAAAACAGATTGACTTTAGGGTGTAGAGGTTCGATAAGAAGGGATTTTTCGAAACTCGAATTCTTCACCCCCTTAGAATTCGCTTACAACCTAACCTAACCACCTCTCAAATATTAGAATATTTTTTATTTAAAAACTGGTGAGTTTTTCGGAAAAACTCTTAAACATGTATATTTTAGTTTGTCATTACATATTTTAAGATTTCTTAAAAATTTATACAGGGTGTTTCATAAAATATGACCATTGAGTAATCACGATTCTGCTTAAACTGCTTGACGTTTAATGCTGATTTTTGGCAAACGGATTCAATCTCAAATTCCAAGAGGGTGAAAACGCCCCTCAAATATTACAATATTTGTTATTTAAAAAACGGTTAGTCTTTCGGGAAAAAGCTTGGACACGCATAATGTATTTTGTTTTTTTACATATTTTGATTTTTTTTTTAAAATCATACAGGGTGTTCCAAAAAGTTGGGTAATTGATTAACTACGATTCTGCTTAAACTGCTTGACGTAAAAAGCTTATTTTTGGCAAACGGATTTTTCGAAAGTCAAATTCCAACAAGATGAAACTACCCCTCAAATATTACCAAGTTATATAATAATATCGCCATATTGTTTTTCTCATGCTGACATAAATGTGAGAAAAGTTTATCCAGTTTGTATGTTAATGAACATTCTTACTTTGCTTTATCATCACCATTACAAATGATTAATTCGACGCGAACGAAGTCGCGGGTACACGCTAGTTATAATATAAAATTAAATTATAATATAGGTCCTTAACTAAAATCTTACTTTGTAAAGGAATAACGACAATCAAAAATGATATTCCTATTAAAGCAATCCATCCCATCTTATTAATAAGCAAATAACAGATGAACGTGGAAGACACAATCCCGATCCACATATCGTTGAACAACCAAATCGATTCCTCAAAAACATGCACGTCTTTTGTTATCAAAGTCACGATATTCCCCAAACTGATCTCGTTCATAGCAGATGGAGTGAGTTTCAGAGCCTTCCTGTAGACCAAAGAGCAGAACGACGTTCTGATCTTGATCGCAAACTCTTGGACGTAGATGATGTAGTTGTGCCAGAAGAAGCAGTTGAAAACGTTGATGCCCACTACGGTAGCAGCGTAGATGTAGAGGTCGGTTTGGGTGCAAGTGTTGTGGGTTTTGTAACAGGCCACCAGGCTGCTCATGGAGAAAGGTTCTACAGCGCTGGTAAAAAAATATTTTTAAATTACACCGGTCCAAGAAAATTGGCCATGATAGCATTCCTCTTGATTCTTATCTAATATTATTATCAAAAAGTGATCAAATATGAAAAAAAATGGCTCCCCCGAAAATGGTGGGTGGTAGAAGAAAAGGGGCTCTATTTGGATTCTGGCTGCCAGTTTACATAGGAATCAGCAGGAATCGTGCCAGAGCTCTAGAAGAGAGCTCTAGCTCTGGTTTGTTATTTATTTTAATTTTTATTAGATATACAGGGTAGCGCCTCTCATACGCCGCGGAGGCTCTAAGGAGAACGACAGTTTGTATTGAAAAGAAATTTTGTGAGCGTGTGTATGTTAATTCAGAGCACTTTTTAAAAATATAGAGAGTTCTACAGGGTGTCCCCCAAAAAAGTTACATAGGTATCAAAATTGTGTTTATTGTAATGGAACACCCTATATATTAATTGATTTTCGGATTTTGGAAGAAAAATAAAGGTGAGTTTTATAAGAGATTATAATTAACATATTTAACATTTTCTAGAAATAAAGACCAATTTTTAAATTACAATAAAAGCTACCTAAATTGGAATTTACCCGGTACAGCCTTATATGTAGTTAAATTAACTATTGTACTTTAAATGAAATTAAAACTTGATCCAAAAAGTTATACAGGGTGAGACAAAATTAATATTGAATATTGGTCACCTTTAAAAGCATTTTACTCTTTTATTTTAAATGGAACACCCAGTATATTATTCCGATATTAAATGGAGAATTCATGTCTCTTCAAAATACTATTAAGGTTGCCTACCCCTCAAACAAAGATTTTCCTAGATATTTTTATTTACATGATTTGATCTGAGTATATCTTTATGATTTGATAAAATCTAGGTGGCTGTGATTATGTCTGACTTTACTTAAACATAGCTGTCTAATTAGTCCAACTTTAACAACTAGTTATCATTTTGTGTCAGTTAAAACAAAAAAAATTTCTCAGAAATTTGCCGAAAATGCAAACTTATCCTACATCAGAAGGAATTGATATGATTCTATTAGTTGGTGAATGGAGTGTGCATTCACCAATTAATAGAATACTTAAATGCTCCTGATTTTACCTAGTCTGTGTTTTTTTATGTGAATATGTTAAAGACAGTGTTTACAAAATTCGACCAACCTAGTGTCAATAACATGGGAGAAATTATTGTAGCTGTTTATCGAGGTAGAGACATATGCCTTTTAAAGTTAAGTTAACAGGAAAAGAAACATTTTGAGCATTTGACTTCATCTAGATAATTTTTGTGGTATAACTAACTATAGGTGTATATCTAATTTTAATTCTGTAGTAATTAAAATATGTTTTAAACGTGTATCTTTTTATTACCCTTGAGTATTTTACTTTACAATCTTTAATTTTTGTTAAATTAACACAAGGTACCTATATCACACAGCCACCTAGATTTTTTTCAAATAATAAAGATTTACTGACGTAAAATCGTAAAAATTAAAATATCTGGGAAACTATTTGTCTGAGGGGTAGGTAACCTTAATAATATTTTGAAGATTGAACACCGGAAAAATATACTGGGTGTTCCATTTAAAATAAAGGAGTAACTTGCTTTTAAAAGTGACTAATGTTCCTTATTCATTTTGTCTCACTGTCTATAACTTTTCAGGTCAAATTTCAATTTGGTTTAACATACAGCGGTTACTGTAATTAAATATCAGGTTATACAAGGTCAACTAAAATTTAGGTAGCTGTTATCGAAATTTAAAATTTACTCTTCATTTTCACAAAATGTGAAATATGTCAAAATCCTTAGGTTTTAGGGATATGCTTCTTAAATAAAACTTACCTTGATTTTTTTTCTAGAATCCGAAAATCAGTTAATATATAGGGTGTTCCATTTGAAAAAAAACACAACTTTGATGTCTAACTTTTTTGGGGGACACCCTATATAATTCTATATATATTTATAAAATGCTTTCAGTTAACCTACTTATGCTGCCAAAATTTTATTTCGATATAAACTACCGTTCTCCTTTGAGCTTCCGCGGCGTATGAGAGGCGCCACCCTGTAGTTTAAATATGTTGATATTATTAAATATAGTTTAAATTGTTATATAATTCTACATTCCTGATTGCAAATATTATTTTCGTTTTAATTGCTGCTCACAGCTAGAATTTTTTTGCATAACAGCCTGCGCCGTTCAAAGCCTACTTATTCAAAGTAGGCGAATTTTTAAAAACTATATATTATCTTGAAGAGGTATCGAGCGAAATATCAAGTATGCTATATTTTTGAATTTTTTTTTGTCTTGGTTAGTAATGAGTGCTAGATCCAAACCTAAATAAGCTCGGTTAAAAAATACTTACAGATTAAAAATTTTGTGACTAAAAAGTAAAAATCCTATGAACGCGTATTTCATTCCAAACCTTGACCACACCATTCGTGCAAAGGACGGCGTTTCCTTTAAATGTTCGGTCTTCCATTGATTCTCAATTTTTTCTCCGCATTTGTCCGAGTTCATACTTTTCAAGACCTCGTACAGATCCTCTTCTTCCAAGTCATTCTTTAGAGCTTTACCAAAAATTTTCCTGGTATATCTAAATAAAAAATGCGTCGTTACGATTGTCGTTTTAAAGTGGAGGTCGCCTTTTCGAGTTAAGAACTGAAATATACAGGGTGATTCATGGCCATGGCCCGTTAGACGTTTATGGAGAATCGGTTAAAGGATTTTTTTTGAAATTTTGGATTTTTGGATAAAGGCACCTGCTCCATCTGTCTAAATTATTTTCACCATTATGAGATAAAAATTATGAGATATAAATGTAGTTTCCAAAATTGTAATAATATTCCGGGTGTTCCATTTAAAATAAAAAAGATGCTACCACTTTTCAAATGATGCGGCAACGCTGTAATGCTGCAGATGCCTTTATGCAAAAATCCAAGTTTTCAAAAAAATGCTATCACCGGTTCTCTATAAACGTCTAACTTACCATCGCTGTGAATCACCCTATATTTCACTTTTAAATTCAAACTTATTCATACTTCAAATAAATATTTGTATCATATCAAATATTTTGTAATTTTAGGTGCTATTTTGCTTTAAATTACCATGTAAAGACGTATACTTATATCTTTGCAATAGTTATTGTTTAATTTAATTAAAAATAATGTCATGCACTAAAATATTGACAGAAGCATTATTTAATCAAATATTACACATTAAATATTTTCGTTTGACACTATCCAGCTATCATAAAATAATATACCTGCTTAAACTGGAGAAAATTTTCGAATGATATTTTTTGGTGTTACGTTACCATTAGGTAGCAATGTTACCTTAGCTTGAGGATCAGGGGAGGAGAGTCACAGACAGGGGAGAAGAGTCAAGGGCAGATAAAATGGCCAAACAAAGCTCATCAATGTCATTTATAGGCTCACAAACATTTTGCGTCGTTGAAAAAAGAGTCACATATATGGCCACAAAACGGTGGATAGTTAAATCCATGTTAAATCCCTAGAATGGTGAAGAAATTCGCCAGGTCTGACACAGTCAAAAAATGTCATAATAAAGCATTGGTCAAAATTCATGATAGATCTGATAAACAAAGGCAGAAAGACAGTCAAAACTGTAGTGGGTATACTAATGTACATAATATTCTCATTCCATCTTGGCAGAAATGTTCTAATATGTACCGTATGATCGAAAAAAAAAACGGCGCCAAAAACGGCTGGGAATGACAATTGATAAATTGTGCAGTGGCGGACTAAGGGGGGGGGGGCGGAATGGGCGTTCCGCCCCGGGCCCCTCTAGGGTGCCTCCAAATCTTAAGTAATTTTTTATTCAACTGGCAAACAGGCCAATATTGGTTCAGTAGCAATTATAAAGCAATTTGTAGTTAGAGTATGCAAACCATAAGTATACGCAAACTAAACACAGTATAAATGGAAGCAGATATTTACTTAATTATCAATTATTAGCCCCCGGTAATTGTCAATGGCATTTTTCTATTTACGATATTAAATCAAGGGGTAATTTTCTTTGTTTAGAATATCGAATAATTATTACTTTTTATATTCGAATAATTATTATATTTATTCTTGGACCTATATATAGGAGTATACCGGAGTATTTTGTAAGGGGCCCCTTACAAAATCGCGGTATTTACCTGGAACGGTCGCGAAAGTAACGCGGCTTATATGTGGAACCGGTATTCCCATCACTTTGTCATCATAATATTATGATAATATTAAATATATGTAAACATTCGCTCGGGTGTAACCATAGACTTAGAATAAAATATAGACTGAGCATCTCATTCATAAATAGCTGGAAGATGCGGACAGACAACGTCTTGTTATTGTTGTGTTATTGTTTTTGGCTCTAACGAGTGCGACACGAGCGATAGATAGGCTGTCTCCGTCGTAACGGTCGTTTCCTGACGGCTCTGCCGCCCAACGCAACACTGTCCTTTTTGTTTCTTCAGTGCACCTGCACTCTCCGTATCATAGGCGGGTATTTTTTTAATTTTAATGAAGCTATAATTCAATTAAAATATATCGTATTTAAACTTTTTATATTATTAAGATTTAGGATAAAGAAAATAGTTTAATATAAAGCAAAGTTTAGGACTTAGAAAAAAAAAAAATACGTCTTAGAGTCTAAAAACGATAAAAATAATAAAGTACGTGTTATAGAAGAAATTTTAATAATCGAAATTATTTAATTTTTGAAATTGATGATAAATTATTAATTTAATAAAATATTAATTTTAGTCAAACATTTACAACTCTAATATTAATCAAAACAGGATCTATTCTATAGATATAATAGAACAGAAAGAGAAAAAACTTTATAATTGTTTAATTTTTTTTTCCGGTAAAAGTGATGTCTTATTATGTAAATTAGAAAAAACAGGAATCTGTTCCATTAAAGCAAGCTTTTAGGAAGTGAATAAAATGAAAACTACATTTATTTAACTCGTTACTGTCTTTATTATAGAGTAAGTATAATAATGGTAATGGTGACTATACTTTATTCAATGGAAATATGCACCAAATTCAAACAAATATAAAAGGCATGAGTATAAACAGTATTACTACAGTAATATTGAACATTGGTTCAAAAATATTACATTAATATAATACAATATTACTGTAGGTATTACTGTCAACGTGCAAGCTTGTTTGAAGCTTGATGTATTTGTATGCGCTTGGTACATCTTGGCGTTGGAAAATGTATAGAAAATTATTAAGAAAAACTAGTACGTAATGGGGGATATCTTGATATACAGAGTGGTCGGAATTGTATTCAGGAAACTTTGGCAGCATAATCTGCAAATAAAATCAGTAAAAAAAATAGTATAAATTTATGTCCTAAAATGCTTCGTTTCAGAGATACAGAGTGTAGAAATTTCATTTTTATTTCGCTTTTTTCCAAATAATTTATGAAGAATGTATTGATTAATTCGTTTCCAAATATCTTGAGAACTATACTTGTGGCGAGTGTCAACAAGAGACCTTATTAAGTAAAAAACGTTGGAAATGTAAATTTTTCTCAGTAGTTTTATATAGATACAGACAAAAAGTATTACTCTTCAAATAACTTAAAAAATATGTAGGTGGCGCCCCCTATTAGTAAAAGTCAAATTGACATCTAAATCTAATTTTTCATGTCAAAAAACTCCCAAACGCCAATTTTCGTCCAAATATTGACGTCACTTCAGAAATTATTTGGAAAAAAATCGAAATAAAAATGAAACTTCTACACCCTGTATCTCCGAAACGAAGCATTTTAAAAACTTACAAGTTCATTTTTTTAGAAAGCCAATGCAACATTTCTGAGTTTCAAATAAAGATAAAAAACAGTAAAACATATAATAATAATATGTAAATTATTTTCTTGGATACATACATATATGGCAAATAATAACAGATTGTTTTATTAAAGATTTACGTTTTGGTTAATTCTAAAACTATCTTCAGATTATATGTGATATTACTTAAGTGATATTACATTATAAAAGAAAAAATGAAAATTATACCTTATAATCGAAAAAAAACGGCGTCAGCGATGGCTATGAAATGAAGATCGCTGTCATTTTATATGTAAAATTATATGGAGTATGTATCGATGGTTTTTTCCAAGCCAACTGGACGCCGTTTTTTTCGATCATACGGTATTACAAATTAATAATAGATTAACAGTCGAGAAAAAAAAAGAAAAAACTCTAGGTAAGTACTGGATAAATTTTAAAATGGCATATTTATTTTATCTTTGTTTAATATAAAAAAAACGAAATATCTACCTGGTTTACATAACCCTGTATAATTTGTGAAATAATAATGGACAAAAATGCAAGCGGTAAGAAAAATATTTACAAAAAATATGTACTTGTTTACATTTCTGGACCATTGTTCGTCATTTTTGTTATCATAATGGTGACCCTATCATAAAAACGTAGTTATTTCTATACCTGATGTGAAACTATAGGGAAAAAGTAATGTTTGTAAAATATTTTAGTCTTGAAAAAAAATAAGGAATGTTTGGTATTTTAAAATGTTTGGTAGCTTGTAATTTTTTCGACTTTCTCGATTGTTTATAGTTTATAATAAGCCTTAAAAATTGTTGTTTCATAATGGAATATCATTCTGGAATTCCTGTATGTTATTTTAGATTCTAAGGATGGTTTTAGAATAAAAAGAAACACATTTTTCATAAAAAAAAGCATTAAATTAACCAATGCCCAAGAAAATAATGTGTCTACTTCTTATGTACTTAATAATGTATCTACTCGTTATATTAATAACGAGGTTAGTAAGAACCTTTACGTAAATGATAAATATAAAAAATACAGATTTTCCAGGGTTTATAATTTACTAAATTATTATCTAAATAAGCGCCTTTCTACAACGCCACTGACGCCAAAATAGTAAATTTGACTTACCTGTGGAATGTTGTTCCAGGACTTAAATAGTCCAATTTCTTACAAATTTGGCACTGACGAACCATGTTTTATAGTTTTTAAATAAAAAGTAATCAAAATAAACACTAAACCGACACTACACACTAAGAAAATCGAATCCAAAAAAATACAAAATCAAAACATCCAATAAAATCAATAAAATAGCCATGGAGAAACTGTGACAACAAGGTTTTACGACACGTGCTTTACTCTACTATGGCTCTACTACGAGAGAATAAAGAATGAACAGGCGACCCGGCGATTGATGGGTGTTGCCAAATTGCTTAAAGAATTTGTCATTTTTAAATAGTCTCCGACTTATAATTTAGTAGTATAGGGACTATTTAATACATCTTTCTACTATTAAACACTACTTTATTAAAATACAGTTTTAATATCTCAATATATGTGTATAACAACAAAAAAAATATTAATAATATTTTAGACGTGACAACATAGGCTGGAGGCGAAAGACTCAGACGGCCGAGGTCAGCTGCACAACATCTTTCAAACGTGACTATTTTTAAATTCCCAAACTTATAGAAGGGCAAAGTAAATAAACTGTAGAACTTAGAAGTAAACAGAAAATTGTAAAGATAGACCGTAGATAAAAACGCTGGGACGTTGTAAAACCA